ACAAAAGTATTAAAGGAATAAAGTTTGGTAAACTAACTTGAGCTGGAGATCAGCAATGACCTAACTGAATTTGAATCCTGGGATAGGTTTAAGAGTTTGTCTGGCGCACTGTTGTTCCAATTGTCACCTACATTCACATATTCTGCACCTCTTCCCATAAAACATGCTTTTCTTTAGAAAGAATTTGAGGCCTGAATCATATGTGATTCTTACCGTTTTGTGAACTTGAACCTCCCTTCCCACCAATCTAAAAGATCCCTCTGTTACTCCATATCTTCCAATTATCCCCCCTTCAGAAGATAAATATTGCTTTATTTAGCTAGGAAGGACCATCTCATATTTAGCACTTTATTTGTCACATTTCTTTTCTTTCTTCATCTCTACTTTGTGATTTTTCCTTTCTCAGGTTAAGTGTGGAGGAAGCCTGTCAGGTGTTGACTAACTGACCAAACCACCACTGAGAAAGTTTGCTGGATCACGTGCCAATCAGTTTACAGAGTGACAAATGAGTTCCTCAGGCCTCGAACAGAGGCTGTGGACCAATCAGAGTCTGGCAGCTTCTAGGTCATGAAAGCCATTGGTTGAGGCCTTCACACTGAGGGATCCCTTGGCCAGAGGGTAGGTCTTGACCTTGAGCTTCTCAAGGGGTGGGGGTCTTGGGGAGAGGAGAAGCTTCCAAGGCCACGCCCTTGTGTCATATCCATGCCTTTGCTTGCTCCCAGATGGGGACAAGTGTAACACCAACCTGCCCCGCACCCCACAACACCCTTCACCAGCCAGCAGGCAATGGCCCTGGTTATCCAGTCAGGAAACATACCACTCTTCAAGCAGGCCATTGGGAAGATGGGTGAGTTGAGATCATTAAGTGGCTGTTAATTGACTACTTCAGGGTTTTAATTATTGGCATGTTGAGGAAGTTCACACCCAGCACTCAGTTAGTGCGGATATCTCTCCAGGCCCAACTCACCCATTATGTTCCACCTCTCTCACGATGTCCAGAAAAGACAAAACTGAGTCCATACTTTCCGTTTGGGTGACTGAATTAAGGCCCGGAATCACCTGTGTGATTTTTGTTAAAGATTGAAAGTTCATATACATCAGGTCCACTACATTCACCCCATTTTGCAAACTGATCCCCAAAATACTGCTTCTGCTGCAGTCCCACTCTCTGATAATTACACCTGGATACATTCAGCCATCTTTCTTCACTGCCGCTGACTAAACATCCTGCAAACTAGTTAGTTTTGATGTCCACAGGCAAGTGGGTTGAACCTCAAAATTGCAGTGATGATAGAAAACTTGGAATTAGGTCACATCATTTTGAAGGAAAGAAACGAAGCAGGTCCAATGTCAGCAAGCATCAGCTGTTATCTAAGAAATAAAGGTGATGTGGCAAGGGCCATAGCATATGACCCAGGGTGAGGAATGACACAGTAAAACATCTGAAGGTGTTTCACAAGAGCATTAACAAACTACATTTGATGCCAAGCCACTTAAGGCGGTATTAAAACAAAAAAACACAACCTTGGTTCTGCAGGTAGGTTTTACAGAGTTTCTAAAAGGAGGAAAGAAAGGAAAAATATGGAGAGGTTTAGTGGGACAAGTACAGAGCTCAGAGTTTTGAAAGCTAAATCACAGATGGAGGTTTAATTTTAAAGTTTAAGACTGTAAGAGGAAAGAAAGACAGAAGGCAGGTTTCTTTTAAAGTTTTGTAACCAAAGGCAATAAAGAAGTAGAGTAGGAGACAAGACAATGACATTTGATTTCAACTCCAGTGTAATGGGACCTCCATCAGCAGGCACCAATGGTGATAGTGGTCCCTGAGGAAGAGAGCTGAATGGTTTACCAGGACCTCCATCAGGAGGTGGGGGTGATGATGGGGGACACTCAGCAAGGGAGCTGAACAGTTCACCAGGATCTCCATCAGGAGGTGGGGGTGATGATGGGGGACCCTCAGCAAGGGAGCTGAACAGTTCACCAGGATCTCCATCAGGAGGTGACGATGGTGAGTGAGTGAGGGCATCTAGAGCTTAAATGAACTCTTGCTGGGAAAAAAATGGTTTCTTTGGTGGAAAGAGGGCCAATGGAAAGTGAGAGCTGATAGACAAAGGATTCCACAGTCCAATGTAGTCCATAGGCTTTGTTCATGTACATGCAGTAAATAATTCCTTGTTTATCAATAATTGCCCTTCCTGTTTCTAATGACCTGATACTAGTGGAGGGAATAATCCTGTTTCATGATCTTTGGGCCTTTGATGTGTTCAAGTCTAATGTTTGACGGGGTTGTGTTAACTGTTTGTTCTTAATTTCCAATAAGGGTAAATCATAATTTCAAATATAAAAATAATAATTATTAATTTCTGTTCCTGCAGAATAGTGTATCTGTGGAAAAGGGCTGCAAGCTGGTGCTGTAAATATTGATTCGCTGCGTTGCTTCTGAAGATCACACTGTAGAAAGGGTACCTTTCCTCCAATGTAAATAACATCTCTGTCATCCTCTAGACAGTGTTACATCGCTTAAGAGTGTTGGATTTGTAACTCAATTATTTCTCATCTTCCAGGAGATTACACAGCTCCAGGTGGTCTGGGGAGCGTATGTATTGTGATACATAAGGCATCAAAACTACATTAGATAGGCTGATGGGCCCATCTTGGTATGATTTTGCATTTGTTATCATCCAAGCCGAAAAGGATGTGTTATAAAATTATTTACATTACATTGTTATGGAACCTGAGACAAATAGCTATGGGAATGGGGAGAGTTTGATGCTAAAAGCGCTCAGCCTCCAGTCCAAAATCCAAAACTGTGTTGGACTGTACTATTGTTTGATACAGATCTTTACCAGATTAAAAATCTAAATCTTGCCACAGGGAAACATGAGAATTTTCAAAAGTTCTTTTTTATTTTTATGTTGACAAAGATAGAAATAATCAAACACCGTTTTGCCTGGTATCTCCCATGGTGCATCCATCTGTGTGAGAGTGTGTAGAAAGACAAGATTTGATTCTGAATGTAATCGAGCAAGTCTCCCTTCACAGTTTGGTTCTTTGAGGTTTTCTTTTGTAATCACATTCTAACAAGTCCCACACAAATCAATTTTCAGTCATAATCCTGTAACTTATATGTGAGTGATCTTAAGTTGAAATGAAAAGAGCCAGTTTCAATGTTAAACTGAAAAGCACTCCATCAATTTTTAAATATCTTGTCTAGAATGGACAAACGTCCCGTCCAATGAGTGGCACAGTGAGTGAGAGTATGTGAATGATGGTACTGAAATCTCTGGGCAGTCTTGCACACTTCACTGGCAACTGGAGTCTATCTATTGCAGGTTGCATTTTCAACGTGAGCTCCAAACCAGACAGTTCTGCTGGGTCAGAAGGGCTCAGCTGGGACCAGCCTGAATTGGATGAGGGCATCCTGGTGAGACCCTGGGGCACCTCTGCATTCTGCAACGACCTCCATCACTTTGCGTGCTCTCCCTTGTTTCCAGGAATGGTCCTTGTATTTTGGGGTGAAAAGCTGTGACAGCCACAACTGTAAGTAATGAAGGAGCCAAAGCAGCCACCAGCAAAGTGAGCGTACAGCTCCAGACCAGTTAAACATTGAGGGAATGGAACTCCATCCTGTCGATGAGTCTGACTGACTGCTCAGGCGGTGTCCTAACGGACACATGGGTGTGATCAAGAGCCCTTGCACCAGCAGAAATGCAAGGAATGTAGCAACGGAAGTAAATCCCACTGCCCTTTTCCCCTTGGTAGACCACATTTCCCTACAATTAATGTATTGTCAACTTCTTGCAATAATTACATCAGAGAGCTGTGAGACACATTAACGTGCTGTTGTTTGTGAACAAGAATCACTGCTGATCCCTATAAGGAGCCAAAGGGGAACAGCTTCAAGGTCACGGTGATTTTGATGATGATTGGCAAGGCAAGGCAAGCAGTGCTGTGCGTCCTGAAATCTTCTAGCTTGGGGAACACAGATCCCTGTGAATATTTTCCTGCAGGATTGCAGGTTCACGTGACATTACTTCTCTAACACATCCAGACAGTTTCATCTGCACAGTACAGTCTGTGTCAAAGTCACAGTGTCCATGGACTCCTGCCCCTCATTCCTCTCCTCTGCCCTTCTGATGCCCAGGCCTCAGCTCTTCCTGTCAGAGATATAGCTCCTCATCATCACTGGACCGAAAATCTGACAGTTGTGCTTCTGTTGTCAGATGCTACCTTCCTTGCCCCAAGTGGCTCCCCAACTGTATTGGAAGACAATTCTTCCCCCTCACCGTAATGCCCCTGGGATGTCAGTTGACTCATGCCCACGTGCGCTACCCAAGAGTTTAGTGAACACACTGCCCACATCTGCACTGACCCTATGTGGCTGAACCATCTCTGAGCCATTCTTCTTTTTAATCAGCCTGTCAAATTCCTTGGTGTTGTCATGAGTCATTCCCTGCTGTCTATCTGCTCCATGCCCCGATCCACTGTGAAGCTTAAAGAAGGCCCCCTATAAAATCTTGGCATGTCCCTCATCAAGCTTTTAATGAGTCCTTAATGACCTTAATTGCAGTTATCCATGGACTCTGTGGTTTGGGTGAGCTTGCTGTCGGTCCCCTGCCAATGGTTAAACTGGCTGGCAATGCAAATTGCAATGGAAAAATGGCCACCGGCTGATCCAGGGTTCCTCTCTTGCCTACCTTTATTTCCAGGGGCTCTTGTGGTGCAGTGGTTGTGTCTCTCCTCTGAGCCACGAGGCCTGGGTTCATGCCCTATCAGAGGTGTGTAATGACATCTCTGAACAGCTTGATTAGAAAATATGTACCTTTGTTTCCAGCCCCAGCAGGACCTAAAATTCTACACTGAAGTCTGATATTCCCTACTCACTATTGTAATTATTGTATTTGCAGTTATTACATAGTTAACGCATTTAAAAACATTTCCCAAACAGTGGTTGTCTCTATTGCCAAACATTCCCTTGATCATCAGCTCAGTTAAGCACTCACCTTTTCAGAATAGTGCTCTGCTGGAAGAGGTGGGTAGTCACATTGTTCGATCTTTTTACAGAGAGAGAAGAGATTCATTTTATCTCCATAAAATGGACTCTGGAGTGCAGCCATCTGAGATGAGAAGGAAACAAAATGATAAATGTTTCAGTTGAAGACTTTGAGACAGATTTTACTGCAATTTTCGTATGTGAGAAAATACTTACAAATTTAGTTTTCCTGTAGATCTCCATGTCTCAAACATTATCTTTGTAAACGTTTATACCCATTAGATGACACATAGTAGCATAGAATTTCCTGATTAGTTTTGCCCATAGGTATAAAACTTAAGAAATCTCAAACACAGGTTTGTAATGCACAATAGACCAGAATTTACTTTTGTACGACCACCTGATAATCCCTGCCTCAAACACCCAATTCACTAAAATGATGCTGTTGCCATATTAAAAATACAATACGGCAAATTCCCTGAAATGAATTCTGTTCTAACCCGATGCAAAATGGCACACAGAATTTTAAAAGCAGCAGCAGGAAAATATTATTTGATGTTTCATTAAGATTTTAATGGCATAAGTAGAAAATGTCTTCGCTGAGAGTAGCACTGTGCTTTCTGTATTTTTCAATGCATTTTGATGGGATCAGTATTGCAGGGACAGGGGCTGGATGGGGGATGGGCATGATGGTAGCCTAGTGGCTAATGTCACTGGACATATGTACGAATGACACCACAGCACGTGATGGAATTTGAAACTGACTGATAAATCTAGAATTAAAAGCTAGCCTCAGTAAATAGTTACCATGTTAGTTATCATCAATTGCTGTAAAAACCCAACTGGTTCACTAATGTCCTTTAGGAAAGGAAATCTGCTGTCCAAACATGATCTGACCAACATGTAACTCCAGATGCCCATAATGTGGTTGACTCCTAACTGCCTTCTAAAATGGCACAACAAGTCACAAAATAAATGCCACAAAGAGTTTCTCTGATGGTATTAATTAGTAATGATCAAACCGTCTAATGCAGCACTACACCAAGAGGTGGAATAAACAAATCAGTCTGGTTTACTGGCCCTGTTTACCTAACTGTTCAGAATTAAATACCATATTGTACATAGTTTGGAATTTTCACTGCAATTGAGAAACATAGTGGCGATTTATAACCCCCTGGATAATAGGAATGACAATGCTTAAAAAATGAGGGGATTACTTCAAGAGTTGAGGTCACTTATATAACTGGACAGATAGTAGCTTACCTTATAGTCTGAGAACAGTGATCAACTGGGCTTGCTGGTGTAATTTCACATGCGTTTCATAATAATAGGATATTTTTCATTATTTAGGCAAGATCTGTCCTTATGATCAAAAAGGGCAGGCTTACAGAAAGAAATAAATGCCACAAGGACTTTCTCTGATGGTATTAATTTGTAATGATCAGACCGTCTAATGCAACACTACACCAAGAAATTCAGAATCTGAGAAACAAACTCTGTCTGCATTTAATTTGTTTATCTGAGTTGGGGTTAATGTTATGTACACCGTCTCAGTACCAGCGAGGATTATAATTAGCTAGGACTCTCATTTCACATCCACTGACTGTAGAAAAATTAAGACACAAACTGACTTGGGCTAGAGCAGGATTAGTCTTCGTTTTAATGCATAGTCCGAAAGCTCTACATGGATTGTTGGTGAAATACAAGATGATTGCTTGCTATTCATTGAACTATAAGGTATGAAGAATCAGTGACTGACTGCCAGAGAGTTGATAAGAAAATAGGAAAGACAAACTATGAAACATCCTGCTTTGGCATTCAAACGTCCCGCTGTCACAGACAAAACTTAGGTTGGACACAGCCATTTCAAATAGAAATCCTCGTAAGGAATTTTATCTATTCTTGTGGAAAGTTACGAGAAAACATTTTTATTGCAGTAATTTATGAGTTTTTTGATCTTCAAGGAGTTTCATATATTTAGATTGACTAATTAAAGGTTCCAATTGTGAAAGGCTAATTATGGACTCCATCTAAAGGGTGTAGCTAATACACTTCAGTTTGAATCCAGACTGTTCACAAATGAGATATCCTCAGGGCCAGGGTAATAAACACTGATATGGACTTTACAGTTTTTATGCATCTGTGCAGCAGGTTTTAACTCATCTACAGTGTCCACTGCTTTAAGAAAATTGGACGTAACAATGCAGAACTATTCCTCATCTCACTTTCTCTCTCCAAGCCTCATGCACAATGTCTATCAGCCATGTAACGAATTCATCCCTTAAAGAAATATTCTCCATACTTTATACAGTAGGCCATAATTCTGGCAGCAGACGCATTGCTATCATATGCTGTAATTATATCATTTACTTGGACATTTGCCCACTCACTGACTTGAAACCAGCTGCCATCACAAACACCAAGCCAGCTAGACCTGCCCGAAACATCATCACGTACAGAATGTTAATTCGTTAACTAAAGCTGCAAGTGGGCTGGTAATGGCCATGGGGATTGAGATGTTAGCAGAAGCTGATCACCATAAAAAAGATGAACAGAAATGACCACATAGTCGCCTACACCACATTTGGTTCAATTACTTAATAGTTTATCCTGCATTGTGCTACTGAGGTAAATTTTGTTTCTCCATTCTAGAGCTGTGGGTATTGATGGTTAGGTCAACATTTATTGCCCATCCCTAATTGTCCTTGAGGAGATGTGTAGTGAGTTGCTTTCTTGAACCATTGTAGTTCACTTCATTTAGGAACACACATGGTGCTGTTAGGGAAGGAGTTCCAGGTTTTTGCAATAAATTTCCAAGTTAGGATGGCGGATTTCAAGGAGGGGAACTTGTGGGTGGTGTGTTCCCATGTATCTGCTGCCTTTGTCCTTCGAGATGGTAGGGGTTGTGGGTTTGCCTAAGGAGCAGTGCTGTATTCTGCAATGAACCTTGTAGATGGTGCACATTGCTGCTACTGAGTGTCAGTGGTGGATGGAGTGGATGCTCGTGCATGTGGCACCAAACAAGCTGGCTGTTATATCCCAGATGGTGTCAAGCTTCTTGAGTGTTGTTGGAGCTGCACTCATCCAGGCAAGTTGGAAAAGTCAGTCAGTTAGTTTTACGACAAGTATTTATATGCCAGATCAACTAGAATCTTCAAATGACTAGTGGGTAAAGATATCGCAACACAGAATGAACCAAGGATCTCCTGGGCTTAAAGTATAATTTAGAAATCCTTTAGGTACATTCGTGAAATTTTATTTGGAAACCTAGTTCTATTTAGACAGGCAGTTATAGCTGGAAATAGCAGTTGTCAGTGTTTGAAGTAATAGTGAGAGGCAGTTACAGTGCTGAGGATGGGAGGGAAAGGTAAGAATTTAGAGATGGTACAGTTTCTACTTATTGTACATATAGCCTGATGTGTTGCCTCTTCCCCCTCCCCAAACCTTTTGAGCACAGTGCCCATCTGGGCCTTTAAGTTGGTACACTTCTGCTTCCAGTAGAGGTCTGCCTCTTCATGTGCTGTGACTTGAGTGCGAAAATACAAGTGTAACCATAGCTTTTAATACCTACTGTTGTGGGTCTGGTTACCAGCTTTCTAGCTAGTATAACCAGTCACAACACTTCAAATCTAGCTTCTATATAACTCCTGTGTTAAATTCTCATATTTGTTACATAGCATCCTCTAAATGGAGTCTCCTAAAACTCCCATGAGACATTTATACCACTAACATTAACAAAGCTCCTAAAGTTACATTTTCTAAAGATTCATGAAAACATTCTTTATGTAAATATACTCCAGATCTCTAAAATACAAAACCATTCAGGCGTTTCTCATAGAAATAGTCGAATCTCAGGGGTGGGCCGTTCATTTGTCTCATTGCTACAGGCCCTCCTATTTGCCTTCCAGCCCTTGAAGCTTGGCACCATCCTAAACTGGATCGCTCCCTGCCACTACAGTGTCTCAAACCCAAAACAAACATACTGCCCAAAATATCATTACCTGCTAAAAGTTCTGTTGATCACAAAAATAGAACCTGCATTTACAGAGCTATTTCCTGGTCTTGGGGTTTCATAAAATGCTTCATTATTAGCCAATAAGGTGCTTTTCATTTATCACCATTGTTGAAAGTCTGAAAGCATAGCAGCCAATTTGTGCAAACAAACAAATAATCAGAATATCTGGCTTAGATATTGGTTAAAGGATTCTATATCAGCTTGGCCAACATCATAGGACATGCTCCTGTCCAGTTCAGATGGTATCAGGAACTCTCATCCATTACAGGAGGCTGTTGGGGCTTGGGTTAAAATCTCATCTAAATGGCAGCACTTCTGACAATGTGGCTCTCCGTCAGTCTTAGAGTCTCTGGAATGGACTCAAGGTTGTTAGAATGACAGTGCAAGCACTTCACTAAGGATGAAGCCTATATTGCAAACAATTAGCATTCATCCAGTTTTGTGACTTCAGAGAGCAACGTCAGGAGGCTCCCAGTAAAGGGTAACACATTGAAGGAGGAAAAGGTAGAAATATGATCATGCGTTTCCTCCAGGTGCTTTGGTTTCCTCCCATTGTCCAAAAATATGCAGGTTAGATGGATTGGCCGTGCTAAATTTCCATAGTGTCCAGGGATTTGCAGGCTGGGTGGATTTGCCCTGGGAAATGCAGGGTCACAGAGTAGGTGGGGGTGGGTCTGGATGGAATGCTCTTCGAAGGGTTAGTGTAGACGTGATGGGCCGAACGGCCTGCTTCCACACTGTAGGGAAACTATGATTCTATGAAAAATGTAATGAATTCCAAAATATGAAAGCCACTGTAGTGTTAATCCCAGAAAAACCAAAATGTATGAAGCAAAGTTTATTGATCCAGTTGGTTGGAATGTTCAAGCCCTTTCTATTGTCATTCACAAACTCTTGTTGCAAATTACAGTCGTGGAAGTGATTCTTTCCAACTGGTACAAATAATCCAGGTGTTGTTTTGATACATCCATTGGAAGTACAGCAGCTGCCATTGTGACTAGTTCTGACTTTAGACCTTCTTGACTGATTCTAAAAATAATTCCAAAAGCACTGCTGCATTTACATACTGAGGAGCCAACAGTACTAATGGGGGTCTATCTTCAGAAGCC